TTAAGTGAGTCAGTTGGTTCCTCTGTAGGCCCATTTTCTCGAACGATTGTAGATACAATACGTTCACACTGCTCCCAGTGTCTGTCAACACTCGGCGGATCAATGCATTATCTATACACATGCTTATGACCAATTCGTCCCTGTGCGGGCTTAGTGAATTGGGCTAATGATCGGCTTAAACTTGCAAGTGTACAAGTGCCAATGTAGTAATAAAATCCGGTAGAAATACCGGGTCGAACACGAGGAAACGTTGTTTATATGATTCAAAAGTTGAGAATAGAATTTGTAAAAGACTTGGAAAAAGAGTATATTTTTGGTTTTCAAGTGATAATAAAAGCAACCAAGGGTTCAGGATTACTCCTAAACGACTCCTAGTAATGAATATATGTTCTTTCAACAATTCTTATGAGTGGAATGTCACTAAAGTATTCTAACTCCTCTTACGGCAGCGAGATTGTGATTAATTCTACATTCATCTAAAATTAACCCCATTGAAGATTAGGACATTATAAAATCCACCATATTCAATTGAGGAATATTTCTATCCACAATTAGAATATGTCTAAACCTTTAAGTGCACGGTTTATAACTCAACGTTAATTGCTCAAATAAACCCAACGATATAATCATACGTTGTACACCGTAGTCATACACATTAAAATATAAAGGAAAGATCATAATAATTTGGTTGAGAACATACATCAAACATCTAGAGTGCATAAAGTTTCATCCCTAACCTTGGCTATAGAAAATTAGCTAGAACAATTCATAATGAAATTACAAATATTGAAATGATGAAATACAATGAAATACATAAGAAATTGATACCACAACTCCAAAGCTATGGTGGATAATGCTTTCCCCTATTGAAGAACTTCTCCCAAGACCAAGGGGTTGCTCTTGAGATACCAAAGTAGAAGTGTAGTGAGTAGAATATGGAATATCTTGTTGAAAGGGCCTCAATTCTCTTAAATAGTGAGTCCTCAACGGCCATTTTTGGACAAGGAAGCAAGCTCCTTAATGAGGTTTGGAGTTTCTTCCGAATGATTGTGATGACTGTTGCTTGTTTTAATCAGTTCCAGACGAAAGGCTGGCGAAAATCGCGAAAGCCGGGTGGCTTTCGCGCGTTTAAAATAATCATCTCCGCTCCAGGGGTCGAAAGCCGGGCGGCTTCTGGCAAAAGCCGGGTGGCTTTTGGCTAAAATTAATGTTTTAATTCTACGGCGCCCAAGGCCGGGCGCCTTTCACAAAAGTCGGGGCGGCTTTCGTCGAATTTTATTCTGGGTCCATTTCTTCATCTTTGGACGACAACTGAGTGGCTGGCTAGTGAAGACCGACCGGCATTGGTGAAAGCCGGGCATCTTTCACCCTTTTTGTGCATTTTCTTCGTTTCTTTTGTTCTTCGGGATGCGTTTGATTGACCTTTTCCCGTCGGTTCGTGTGTATTCTACCGTCCTTGTATTTGATCCCATCATCTATTTAAAGTACTTCTAGCAAAACGAGGCATATGCGTGAAGATTTAATTGTTTTATGTATAAAAGCGTTTATAAACGATCGTATAAAACACGTTAATAGAACGCTTTATCAGCCAATCCGCAGGTCCGAATGTGATCTGCTCCATTCTGCCTTTCTTTTGGGGTGGCGTGGATATGGAGCCCACATAGAGGCTCCGTTCGAATTTCTTCCATTCGGTGTTCGAGTCACCTGTCTCCCCTCCCCCAAATATAACCTTCACCTCCATTCTCGTTTTTTTACCCGGGATCTCTGAACCCTCTGCCTTGTCCCTGGGGAATATACACATCATTCCTGGGCCGAGCATCACGCTGAGCATCATATCTCTAGCTGTTGGATCTTTTGACCGACTTCAGAATGCCTACAACACTCGGGTCTTTATTCACATATTTGTCCAGATGACCCCGCTGGATCAATTTCTCAATTGCTATCTGTAATGCCCGACAGGAATGGGTGGAGTGACCCTTCATGTTGTGGTATTTACAAAAGGCATTTTTATCTGCCCCCATGTAATTTTTGGTATCGGTTGGAAGGGGAATGTTGTCCTTCTCATTCTGATAAATGGTCGTAACAGACAGGTCCAGAGGGGTGAATCGTCCTGGTTTCAGACGGGGTGCGGCCGCCAGGATAGGATCTAGCCGATCGAAAATCTTGTAGGGGCGGAGGGTGTAGCTACCTTATCCCTGATCATGATTTCCTACTCCGGTGTCGCATGCTTTCGGGACCTATTCAGCACTTCGGAATACACAATGCCCAGATTCTTTTTCAAATCTTTATACAGTTCACCCATTCGGAGAGTGTTAGTGAATAGGGTGATGGCTGTATCATCCGTCATGTTTCCAACTTTTAGGGTTTCATCCCTCCACCTTTTCAGAAACTGATTTAGGGTCTCCTTCGCCCCCTGCTTAACACTAGTCGGGTAGCTAAAATGCCACTTTGGGGTGGTACTAGAAGCAAACTGGGCCAGAAATAAGGATGATAATCCAGCAAAGTTGTCGATCGATCCTGGTTGCAGGGTCTCGAACCATTCCTGGGCCGGTCCCCTGAGTGTGCTGAAGAAAAGCCGACAAATAGCCACCTCTATTGCCCCCAACAGCATGAGCCCCCTTGGTAACTCCTCAAATGCACATGGGGTCTCCCGCCCCATCATATATCTGACCGGTCAACGGTTTGGCATCCATTATTTCCCGGGTAAAGGGGGGAATGATCCCAACTCGCACCGAGGTAGGTTGTAGAGGTGCCCTGTTCATCTGGTCCCTCATTTCGTTCATTTGTCTCCTCATTTCGGCCATCACTTCCTCCTGGGCCGTAAGGGGAGGTGGTGGTGGAGTTCCCAGATTAACAAACTCCTGAGTTCCTTCTGGTGGGGTTGCCCTCTGATTCTGACGTCCCTGTCTGGATCGGGTGTTATCATGTTCATAACGGAAATGGAGCCCAACCGGTGTATATCCTCTAGCTCGTGACCCGGTCGGGGTGTGGTCACTGGGAGTGTGATGCCTACCCCGAGACGTATGAGCCCCTCTGTACTCTCCCTGATGGGCACGTGAATGATTCGAAGTCGTGGTGGTTTCTGTATCGGTAGTTTCCTCTTGGAATGATTGCATCGTGGATGGGGTGGTGTATCTGGTTTCCCCCGTATAGCTGGATTGTCCCCCATCCTGCTCATCCGCCAGGTGCTGCATGACCTGAGCTAAATCTCGCATCGCGTGAGGATTCATCCTCAATGCTTCAGGGATGAAGAAATCCCCATCATAGTGCGGGTAAGATCCCTGACTGGATTGCCTTTGGGGGGTCCAGCTCTCCCCGCGTCTTTCGGAACCTTCACTAGTGTGATGAGAGGTGATTCTAACCATCTTGATAATAGGTTGTTTTGGGTAAGTGATTGGTGTGAAACTTTTTGTTCAAGTTTCCCACAGGCGGTGCCAATGTTGAGGTTTAATCCCGTAGATCCGAAAGCCCAACACACGCTTTGGATATTTTAGGACGTGGATAATGATTTGTGTGTAAGAAAATATAAAATCCGAATAATAATGAGCTCAAAGCCCACTTGGATTATGTAATTTGCTGAATTACACAAGAACTTCCCGAACGGTACATCGGAATAGTAATTAATACAACAATGATAATGAGAAAACTATTATAGGCCTTGAGTATCAAAATGCTAACCCTTTACAATGAAATTAATCCCTCTATTTATACTAATGGGGGGTATGGGGTGCTATATGCAAATTGGTAGTTAATCCACCGACTTAGACGCCCATCCTCCCACTTGCTGATGTCACACTCTAGCATTTAATGCACTTCGCCACTTGCCAATGGTCCATTGCCCGATCGGAGTGGTGGGCCATGCTGAAACGTTATTGATTTGGCCAAAGCATCTTGGCTGACCCGAACCCCTTTCGGTATATATTTCTCCTTGGGCCTGTTCATCTTCTGGATTCCGGACTATTTATTGGACTTGACATATTGGGCCTTTGACTCGAGTATTGGGCCTTCGACCCAATATCCCAACAGAGGTTGAGGATATTTCCAAGTGCTTTAAGTGTGGAAAGTCAGGACATCTCATAAAGGACTGTCGGCTACCCAAGAAAAAGAAGAACATTGACTACTATAAACAGAAAGTTCAGCTGAGCAAGAAAAAGTTGTTGTTAGCCAAGGAGGAAGACAACAAGAGTATTTTGATGGCTGAAAATGATCATTGAATGGATAACTTGTCTGATGATGAAGAAAACAAAACGACATCGATGGCCAGGGTTGAGGCAGAGGATGAAGAAAGAGACCAAGAGCATGATGCTGCAATCTCAGCAGAAGAAAATGGATCAAACGTTGAATTAAGTATTTCTAATTCCAATAATTCATCATTATGTACTATATCTGATTCTCATGATGTTGTTAAGGAGTTAGAAGAGAGATTAGAACACAATTATCAAGTTTTGCTAAAATAGTTAGAAAAGAAATCCTTTCTAAACGTCAAAATAGCTAAATCACAAGATAGGATCATGAAGCTAACCCCTAAAAAACTAGGAACTGTTGTTAGTGACCTAACTAAGTGACTTAGTAGCTCAGAGATTGAACGAAATAGAGTTTCTGCTGTAAATACCACTCTTTCATAATAATGGATTCTCTTTATACTAAAATCAAAGAACTTGAAGATTTGTTAGCCAAAAGAGACCAAACAGATCAGACAATTTTTCTAAATGAACCTGAGGATACTTGATTCTACAACTCCAAAGAAGGTGTAGGCCTTTCTAATCCCTGTTATCTGAAGATAATCGATCGTTCTCAACTCTATGACGTCAGATACATGGGACTAGGTTTGACTAAGCTTACGTCCTTTATTGGAGCTAAAGAAAACGATGCTCTTGACGATGACAAACGAAAAAGCAAAGCAAAAGCTGAAGTCCCTTTTGACTATATTGATTTGAATAAAAGCTACAAAAATCATGAAATCCCTTTGACTCCTAATGAAGACTTAACTTTCTACCCACCTGAAAAAGAGACTATGCCAGACCAAGGCGCACCTTCAACATCAAAATCTGAAACAAGAAAAGTTTATTTTCCACCTGTGGTGAGAAAATTTGATGATTTAAAAGAAGTTTTTGAAAAAGAAAAGAAAGTTTCTTGAATCTGAAAAGAATCAACTCTTAACAAAACTTTTCCTTTTAAAGAAAACCTCCCAATCCAGCACAAAATCTTCAACCTTTTATGCAACATCTAAACAGTTTTCTGAAATATTAACAAGTTTTTCTAAAACTTCATCCACTCACTCCAAGTCTCATTCACCAATAGGAAACCAAATGAGGAGGAGACTGGAGAAGAATGGAAAATGGATAGAAGAGAGATTGAGAAGAAGAGAAAATGAAGATGTTTTTGCTAAGAATAAGAAGAAATGTTCTAGTGTTTTATTTTATTCGAGAAATAAGTGTAAACCAAGCTCCATCGAACCATCTACTAGTTATGTTAGTAATGTTGTTCCTAGTAGTCATGTTTCTAGGATAAGTAAGTGTTTTCTTTCTGTGAACTGCGTTGATGTTAAGAATGAATGTGTTTCTGATTCTGATTCCTTCTCTAGATGATTGTAATGTGAATGCTGTTGTTACTGACTATCCAAAGAAGTCTTAGCTTCTTCTAAAAAAGCGACTATTGAGGGAATATATAAACTACCTTTTTAAGGTATCTCCTCAAAGTCCACTTACTAAAACATTTAAAAAGGCTTTCACAAAGAACTGTTTAAATCACACCTGACAGAACAACCATTCACAAGTGTTGAAGTTTCTCTCACTCCAAAGTTTAAACAAGAATTGGTTCCTAAGTCCAATGTTGAACAAACAAACAACTCACATCTTTCAAAATCTCCTTTCTTAGGTTCCCAAATTAATTGAAAGTTCAAATATTTCATCAACGTTAATAAGGAAGGACTCATCCGGAGATGAGTACCAAAATGACCTTAATATGTTTTGTAGGTCAGTCATGTGTGTCATCTTGATTCGTGTTGCTCGTCACACATAATTGGATGCAAAGAACTATTGAGCAAATACACTGAACACTACGGAGGGAAAGTAAGGTTTATCGTCCAAATTTAAAAAGAAATATGTCAGATTTTTTAAGTTTTTATGATATTTCATATACTATCAATATTTGTATTTAAATTTTATTTTTTTTTGAATAAAAATAGATAATAAGATAAAGAATTAAAATGTTTTATTGTACCATAAATAAGATCTTAGATAAAAGTATAAATTTAGAGGAATGATCCTGTCAAGTCGGCCTGACGCGAATCACAAGATCCATCATATTTCCAAGTCCATTTGAGGCCTTTTTATGCGAAAATTTTTTATGAAATATTTTTATCATGTTCTTCATCACAAAATTTCACCTTAAAATTCAACCGAAAAGACAGTTAAGTAAATTCTTGAAACATATGTATAGAAGTATCTATACATATGTTTCAATAATTTACTTAACTGCCTTCCCGATTGAATCTTAAGATGGAATACAGTGGAAATAACCTACACTTGATGAAGAACATGCTCAAAAGCTTTTATCAAAAAATTCGACCCGAAAGCCCATCAAATGGGCTTGGCCGGATAGCGGGTACTTTAAGGCCGGTCTGATAGAAATGCCACTTTATAAATTTATACTCCCTCTGGCTGTCAAAATTGATCTCACTTTTATTTTTGGGCCGTCCCAAAACATGTTCTCATATCCCTTTTTGGAAAGTTCTGTGTGGTAACATTCATTTACCTTTTTCTTACTCAACCAAAATCTTACATTTTCACTTTATTCTCACTTTCTTAAACTCCTATTCAAATCAAACCACGACTATTTTGCGGGAGTGAATGAGTAATGATTTGAAAATAATTGTAATGCCACATGCAAGCAATGGACCGCCAGCCTCTTAATGAGCTGGGCTAAAACTAATACTGAGTATCCCACATGCGAATAATACGGGCCCAACTCCTCTCTGCAGGAAGAGAATTATGCTGTGGGATAGGTATACCATGCACATGGTATATCCTTCCCACATACGGCACCGTTTTGAAATAAAAGCAAGTCACGCACCCTCCACTCACCGTATTCCCCCACTCTCGTTACTTTTATTCTTGTACGTTTTTTACTTCCTAGCTCTCTCTATTTCTCCAATGCACTCCTCCACCCTCTTTCTTTTTTACTTTTTCGTTTTTTACTTTTTTTTTTCTTTTTTTTTGTTTTTTACTTTTACTTTTAGTTTTTCATTATCAAAACTATCATATTTGATTTGTAAAAAAACTATCATATTTCAAAATGATTTTTTTTAATTAAGGAACACCGGACGATTATGTACTTTGTATTTCAATTTTGTGATTAAATTTCATATCCTTTCAAAATACATTAATTACTTTATCTTTCTATCTTGGTCCTTATTCATACACTTATATTTCATTTTTTCTTCAACTGAAATTACAAGAAAAAATTTGTTATTGTCTCTTCAATTTTTTTTAATATTTATACACTTTTTATAATTTTTTTCATATTCATACACTTTTTAGTTTTTCCTATACTATATTTCTTATTTCTCTTATATATTTTTAGTTCTTTTAAGATATTAAATTTGGTTATTTTGATTTACATTTGTTAAAATATGAGATTACATTTTCATGTGTGATTTACGTTCCACAAGTTTGAGTTATGTTCGTAGACAATTTCTGGAGTTACATTTAAATATTTAATAGTATATGGAGTTACATCTTCTTGTGTATGAATTATATCTTCTTATGGGTGAGTTACATCTTCTTGTGTACGAATTATATCTTGCTATGTGTGAGTTACATCTTCCTATGCACAATATTTAATAGTATATGTAGTTACATCTTCTTGTGTAAGAATTATGATATGCACTATTTCCTAGTGCATAAGTTTGTTATTTTAGTATTGTTTGATTGTTATTTTTAATTGTTTAGTTTAGTTTGTGATGCACTCTCTAGATTTATTTTATAGGTTGTAATTTGTATTTTTAGTACGTATTTGATTGTAAGTACCATAAGGGATGCAAGTTAGTATTATAGGTACCAAAGGGAGGCAAGATGAATGGTGGAAATAAATTCTGCTAGCAAACCCGGTCGGGTTAGAACACAACCCGATCGGGTTGGAAGTGACATATGAAACTAAGAGGAAGCTACGTGCCGAAACTCGGTCGGGTTGGAACAAAACCCGGTCGGGCTGACTTGACAAGAACAAAAGCACATGTCGAAGATCAAGAGAACATTGAAAATATACGATTTGATACTTAACCCGGTCGGGTTGGTACTCAACCCGGTCAGGTTGGAGTTGACATCGAACATAGTAACGTGCTGAAGATAAAAAGATCGTGGAAAATCAGATTTGTTCCCAACCCGGTCGGGTTGGTACTCAACCTGGTCGGGGTTGATGCGATTTCAGCAACTTTCGATTACCTAAGGTACCCGATCGGGTATCCTATATACCCGGTCGGGTATCAGACCTTGCAGTTCCCAAAAGCCTATAAATACACTCATTTCCTTCAGAATAAAATCACCAAATCACATATACTTCTAAGCTCAGTTTAGATAAGTTCTTTCTTTATATTTTCATCATGTTTAGTCTCCAAATGAGGAGCTAAACTCTTCCATCTTGGTTTTGCTACTTTGAAGCTTAATGAATTGTAAGTTGTGAGTTATTTTCTTTAATCTTCTTCCTTGAATATTAATTTAATCTAGCTCTATATTAATTTTGGGGAATGTTGCTAAGATGACAATTAGTTAACATCTCGACATTAATTATAGTAGCATTTGCTTTCTTTAATCTTCTTCCTTGACTATTAATTAATTCATATTCATATTGCATATTAATATTTTGAATATTACTTAAAGGATCAACTAGTTTTGGTTCATATATTAATTATTACTAGAATCAATCGGTTAATACGCTTGTTATTAATTCGGTTCTTTCAACGGTAGTAAACTTGGATTAATAATGCATGCGTCGCATGATTAATAATCTAAGGGGAATTAATTATATTGATTAAACCAATAAACCGCTTGTGTTGAGGTTATCAATTTCAATCGTTTTCATCTTAAGTTTATGGCTACTATCGGGTTAATATACGACATGTGTTCTATATTGACTCGATAGTAAGTTTTATTAATGAACGCGTCTCGTTATTAATAACTACCCTCGATGAAATGGAGATACTCCTCGATTGAGTATTCGAGAGGAAGATAGTTAAAGATATAATCAGGATCGACGAACATTTCATTAAGTGGATAAAAGCAAAACCAAGTCATCATCTCTATTAATTAAACTCACATAAGTCATTTATTTTAGTGTTAATTACATTAAATCAAATCAACAATCATAAAAACCCCCCTTGTACTATTTAACTAAAAGAGAAACATTCATTTCCGTGTGGATACGAATCTTACTTCATTATACTACATATAATTGTTGTATTGATTATTTATTTTGAGTGTACACCACGACAAAGTGCACGTCAAATTACATCTTCAAGTTATAATTAAATTAACGCAATTTACATATTTTATTTAACTTGTGTTACATTTCTATTAACACAATTTACATTTTTTAATTTTCTCAAGTTACATTTCACGTACCCGTTTACATTTCAATTTGCTTAAAGTTACCGTTTATATCGCCCGGTTTACATTTCTCATATGAAAAGAGATAGAACTACTAGAGAGGTAACATGAATTACATTTAGGGGCACAAGTTACATTTGTAAGTTGCATTTCATTACAAGGGATTTACATCACGAAAATAATTGGAAAAAAATAAACATTTACTGTTCATCCGCGCTTTTTTGTTCAATTATTATGTCAAATTACACTTGTGGGATTTAAACCACGAAAATAATTGAAAAAAATAACATTTACTGTTCATCCATGCTATTGTTTAATTATTAAGTCAAATTACACTTGTGTGAATATGACAGTTCGATAATATGTTAAAATTATATAGGCTGGTCTCATTTGAAAGATCATGAAAAATAAAAAATTTGATATAAATTTTATAAAAATTGAATAAAAAATAAAAAAGTTATTACCATTTTTAAGAAAAACAGAAATAAAGAGACCACTTATATCAAACCTCAAACTGGTATACCAGGTCGCAACTCGCATGGTATACGAAATGGTAAAGAAGCTTCCATAGTTCCATTAGGCTCTTGCATTGAATTTGGACCATTCTTCGTTTTTGTTATTGTGTACATAGCTCCGGGTATTTTTCCTTTCTCCTCCATCCTCAGGGAAGTCTTACTTGATCATCAATTCATCAAACGCATATTCCATCTGGAAATCAATTCAGTATCGGCCAATCGACAATTTCACGAAATCTTTGTGTTCGCGGACAACGGCTGAGAGAGAGTTGGGGAGATCGAAAATGGCGACCCTGACGAGGCAATTCCAACCGTCCGCCACCGGCACGAGAACCTTAACTATCACCGTAGACGATTCATCTTCGCAGCCTGGAGATTCTTCACCCGCTTCCTCTCTCCACCGGCCTCCCAGCGAAACCCTAGTTCTCAAATTGAAGCGGAGGAAGAAGAAGGTGTCGTGGAAGGAAGGCACAGTGGATAACGAGTTCCTAAACAGGAAAAGCTCTAAGAAATGCTGCATTTTCCATAAGGAGAAGCCTTTTGACGAAGATTACAGCGATGAAGAAGAAGAAGAAAATAAAGGCTGTTGTAATGATCATCACCACAATCAGGATCAGGTGAAGATTGGGGTACCTCAGTAGATGCAGAGATCATTGATTGATTCAACTTGTAACCGTAACAAACTTTATGGTATAGCTGAAAAACTCAGGAGTTTTTCAATTCTTGTGTTTTTCTCTCCTTGATCAGGTTCGTGGATTGAGGATGTGTAATGTGTCCATGTAGAAATTTGGAGTATGGTTGGATGAAAAACAGATGATGGTGTTATCCATTGATGTTATGGAGAATAATTGAATTGTTTGGTTTTTTATATTTAAGTATTCCTAATTTACTATAATCTCTCTGTTTGAGCACTAAGATGAACTGAATAGCGCTAGAAGCAGTTGGTATGGTTTTAATACAGTACTGAAAATATCATTCTACATTTTTAGCACCTCAGGTAATGAGTAGTTATACTCTTATTGAGGCACTGGTACATATTGAGGACCAGCTTCATGTGGACTAGAAATTTATCTGGACAGAAACATATTTGTTTGGTTTGGTCCGAATTAGTTTGGTTTAGTCTAATCAAGTTTAGCCTGGTTTAATGTTATGTGTATTGTATTATTTGTGATTGTTTAATTAGTATTCACTTCTTTAACCTGATATGATCATTTTAGTTCTGGAATGATTCCAAGTCTTAATTTTCGTCTGTTTTGAACTAGGATGGACATGATATTCGATTACAGTTAAGGTTTTGTGTCAAGAGGGTGGAACCAGCAGTTCTGCTTTTACTTCCATTTTTAAATTGCCACCACAGTAATCGATCGAACCACCTATTACTATCTATTGCGGGTGTCGCTGTGTCAGTTTTTTAAAAAAATGTTTAGAACCTGTAACTATCAGGAGGGTCGAGTTGGAACTGGTTTGCGTTACTGTTTCTACATTTATGGGACCAGGAACCGTCAGCTTCGGAACCGATGGATGTCAACCTCTATCCTGAAGTACTAAATATTGTGATTTTATTACCTCTTGCACCACCACAGGTACCCTAAGATAGACACTGGAAGAGATGCTGATGGAAGGGGTCATTAGGGGGTACCCTTAGTGAAGGAGGAGGCGTACATGGTGAAACAACACCCTGACCAACAGGTAGTTTCAACCCAAAAATGAGCAAATTTGCATTTACACTTAGATTTAATTCAAGTCCTTGCAGTGCATATGTGGCTGTAACTGCAGCTAGGCTTGTTCATGGTGGAATTGCATTTTATTTCGCACCACCAACCCGCAGTCCCCCCATAGGCTTCCACTTATGGCAAACTTTGAGTTTCTCAATTTTTCTAATCAATGCTCTCTAACCCCATAACAAGAAGTTTTTTTTGTACAAATGAAAAATGGTTATACACTTATACATGGCTCATCTGTTCATTTAGAGAACTGCAATTAAAAAACCAAAAACAACACTCTTTGCGTTCTTCAGTTTCTTTTTAAAAAACGTTGCAAATAGTAGTAAAATGTGTAAATTGAATATATAAATAGGAGTATTTTTCTTATCCTCAAAACAGGACACCCTTAGTTCTAAACTTCTAATAAAAGAACACAAGTAATTAAAGTTTCTCTCTTTAAAAGTCAATGATGAGTCCTATGTCCAGAAAAAACAAAGATTACCTCCTTGATCTTCAATGTCAATCTTTGTTATTGTTTATAGTAGAGGGGATTTGACTTTGCACCCCATGTTTTGGGCGATATTAGACTTTGCACCCCATTTTGAAAATCATTAATATTTGCACCCATCAGCCCAAAAATTGCGAAGGAGTGGGGTGCAAAGTCAAATGATTTTATACTGAAATGGGTACATATATTAATGTTTTTAAAAATAGGGTGCAAAGTCAAATAGCACTCAAAAAACAGGGTGCAACGTCAAATTCTCCCTTTGTAGTACTCGTAACAAGTTTACAAGTCTGATAATGAAATATTAATTTAAAATTATGAATTAATTCAAACCATTCAAAAGCATTTTCCTGTTAACCATAGAGTTTTTACTTTCTAATTTCATGTGAAAGTCAAACTTCATCAAGTTTAATGAGAGGGTAAAAACATTATTTAAGCATACTTCACACTAAAAGAAACAAAGTTTGACTTACCCAACACCGGGTGGGAAAGAGAAGGAGATGCACATGAGGTAGAACCACTCGGACTCAGTTAAGTCCTCAGGGGATAGCGCAGCAGGGGGACGCCGCATTGCAGCTAGCTGCTGGCCTCCACCACCGCCATTTGTATCTTCGGCAGTGGCGGTGCTGGTGGAAAGGGAGTCGTAAAGCTCCCTAATTTGCTGGCTTCTGTGGAGCGACGCCTCTTCGGCCCTAACTTCCATGGCCTGTACGGTTTTCCTCGTCTTTATGGATCCGTTATAGTACCCATCTCTCCACACCAACATCCTGCATTCACATGCAAATAAGTAAGATTGATTTCCAAAGTTCCAACCAAATCAATATATCATGTTAAAGCAATCAAGGAAAATCAAGAAACATATTAAATCCCAACCCTTGTTGTGGGCAAAGTTGCCAGAAAAGACTGTAAGTCCACTGAACAGATAGAACTGCAGTCTGTAACAAGCTTTGCAGTCGAGCTGGATGTGATGCATGCATGATGGCCGGGTTGAAATCTATGATGGCAGATGATGATGATGATGATTATGGGACGTACTAGAACAGTGAATCTTGAGCAGAAGTACATTTGTTCATTCTTTAATGTCGTTTAGACTTTAGAGAAACGTATATAAGTATATTTAAGGACAAATGATCTGAGGTTTATCCGCAAGTTTGATTGACTGGTTGGTGTCCACCGGATGGTTTAATTGGGTTCGTAGGTAGAGTAGGAACCAAAATATTATTCTATGAAAAAGACGTACGATGTAAGATAAAATTAAAATTATAAATTTAAAGAAACTGTTGCAAAATTTAGAAGAAAAAAAAGTATGTGTATATATAGAATTATCTTAAATTCTTAATAATTCAAGAATAGATTTGAATGGGCACTTTCTTGTTATTTCACTCTATTTTCCTCTTCGATATTGTGTATGTTGGGCCCAGATCTGTCAAGCGAATTGGGCCATTACCTTAGATTTGAGTTTACTGGACGGATCAGCCCACGCGGTCTTAAGGAGTCCACGGAATCCGGCTTGGTCAAATGGCATGACGGAGTGGATAAGAGTGTCTAAGAAGTTGAGGAGAAAATGGAGGAACAGATCCCGATTTTGTAAGGAAAGGCTACCATTTCGCCGGGTAGTTCGTCTGCATGGGAAAAAGAGTTGGAATTTCTATTTTAAATAGACCGGCGGTAGAAGGAAAAGGGACTCACTGAATTATCTATGTACTTGTAATACCACTCTTTGAATCATACATCCGGATTAATATACTCTCCTTCATTAGCTTTCGGTTCATATATTGTATTTCTTGTACGATCCTCACATACATATAATTTTAGATTGGTTTAAAAAAATTGCTTAAACAATTTGGCGCCCACCGTGGGGCATTGTGCAAGGAAAGATCATCAACCATGACCGGAAGCAGCCCTTTGTTAGAGGAAATCCACACTCAAATGGAGGCAGTTCGAACGGAGTTTCGCCGGGAATTGGCGGAAAGGATGGCACACCTCCAACGAGAGAACGATCTATTACGATCCCAAGTTCAGTCAGCAGTCTCAATCGCATCCAACTCTAGGGGCAATCGAAGGAACGATCTCATGCCCGTAGTCACAAGACTAGATTTGGAATCCATTCCGACGGCAACGGACACGCCCACCATCGCCTCCGAGCCCATATCTCTCACGTTGGGCCTCTCACCGGCCGGGGAATCACAAACCACCGTCATCTCTCAAGTGATACCGTACACGCCTCTCATCCCTGAAACGACCCCTATCCCAAGCATTCCGACCTGTTTCTTCCCGGAGTCATTGCGCTCGGGATCAAGAAGGATGGGGTTGCAGGCGGCCACTCAAAGCCTACCCATGACGTCAGGTGCGCTATCCCCGACGGAGCCATATGTCACTCATTACCAAAGCAGAACCCGTGACGAACCCGGACCGTCTGGTCTCATGCAGGAAGGGACCCGGAGTATATTCGACGAATTGCCGCCTATATTTCAGGCACAACGGCAGCGTAGACCAGCCGCGTCAGCAGGGCAGAATCGTGGAGGACATCGCCCTGAGGTCATAATCATTCCGTCACCAACCCATCCCGAAGCAACCCCGGTGGCAGGATTGACAGTCTCGGCGCCGGAATCCACTCAGCCAGTCCAGGTGGATCCGATAGCAATGATTATGGAGCAACTCCGACAGATGCAGGATAAGATCAATGGATTGCCCGGAGTACCCCTTCCGTTGGATCGGGCCTCAAAGACATGTTATGCGGACTCGCCCTTCAGCAGACAGATTACAGATGTCGAAGTGCCACGCAAATTCAACGTTCCTTCCATGAAGATGTTCGACGGCACATCTGATCCGGTGGAACATGTCGCCCAATACAAACAGCGAATGCTTGCAGTATCACTCCGACCGGATCAAAGGGAAGCATGCATGTGTCGCGGCTTCGGGGCAACACTAGCTGGCCCAGCACTCAAATGGTTTGTCAATCTGCCTAATGAGGGTATCGAGTCATTTGCAGAATTGGTCGACTCGTTCAATCATCAGTTCGCGAGTAGTCGAATACTTGAAAAACAGACTAGCGACCTCTACAGAATCATACAGCGACGCGGTGAATCGTTACGGGATTACGTACACCGTTTTAACAAAGAAAAAGTTTCCATTCCACGGTGCGATATACCAACAGCAGTTGAGGCGTTTCGGAGAGGCCTATCCGACGACTCAGAATTATACCGGGAATTGACGAAATACCCGTGCAGAACCTTTGAAGACGTCCAGGCTAAAACCTTGGCCTTCATCAGGTTGGAAGAAGATCAGCAGACGCGACATCGGCAGGATGCATATGACGGAGGGCAACGTAAATCAAGCACATCCAAAAAACACGACTACAGGACCGGAAAACCCTATGTCAGAACCGAGGATAGACCGGTCTCGTCGATAGTAAATTGGCTCGATGATCCAGATTTACCACCTGTCATCAATGACTATTGTTTCAATGTCGCCACTCCAGGCCTCATTCACTCTCTGGAAAAATTAGGGGAAAAGGTCAGATGGCCTCGAAGGACAGACAAACCAGCGGGCCGTCGAGATCCGAGTAAACGATGTGATTTCCACGGCGATATCGGACACAACACGGAAGATTGCGTCGCATTAAGGAAGGAGGTGGCCTATCTGCTGAAAAACGGTTATCTGACGGAGATCATGTCTGAACGCACCAAATCACTGCTAGGACGGAATGACAAAACGTCACCGAATGGGTCTAGGCCGCCTTCACCCTCTGCGCCATGTAAGGTAATCAACTTTATTAATGGTGGATCTGATTTATGTGGACTAACATATTCTGCAGCAAAAAGACACGCCCGGGACTACACCCGAGACAAGTCGTTGCAGGTTTATAGGATCGGAAAACGTCAAGAGGAATGGAGGAATGCATCAATCACGTTTGACGAAACGGACATTTATGATCCGATACAATCTCATCACGATACATTGGTGATCTCCCTTAGAGTGGCAAACTGCGAAGTCAAACGAATCCTCGTGGACAACGGGAGTACCGCGAATATTACCACCATGAAAACGTTGGAAGAACTGGGGGCCAAGGAGGAAGATATAACAGGTTCCGGGTCAAGCCTAGTCGGATTCAATGGAGAGCCAAGCAGAACCATAGGTAATATTTCTTTACCTGTATATACCCATGGTCTAAACATGCAGGTCAAATTCGACGTGGTTGAAAGCATACCAGCGTACAACATGATCCTGGGAACTCCCTGGTTGCATCAAATGGGAGCAATTCCATCGACTTATCATCAAATAATCAAGTTCCCAACACCGTGGGGAGTACAAAGCATCAAGGGGGATCGACAGTCAGCCAAGTCTTGCTACCAAACGGCGATGAAGCCAACTGCGGACCAAACTGCCTCCAGGACCGCATAGCAATTAAAGGGTGGCCCCGCTCTGGTGGAAGATGATGACAAAACAGAAGAAGTTGCCATCGACTCAGAACATCCAGAAAGGGTCATCCGCATCGGGAAAGACATACCAAAGCACCTCAAAGACGAACTGATAAACTTCCTCAAAGAACATAAGGACGTATTTGCATGGAGCCACGACGACATGACAGGTATTGATCCTAATATCATAACTCACAGGTTAAACGTCAGCCCATTACACAAACCCGTCAGACAAAAAAGAAGACGCTTTGCAAAAGAAAGGAATACCATTATAAACCAGGAAGTTGATACGCTGCTCCGAACCGGCAAGGTAAAGGAGGTAAAGTATCCCGATTGGTTAGCTAATGTTGTTGTTGTTCAGAAAAAGAAAGGGCAAGAAGAAGGCAAGCCAGTCAAATGGAGAGTCTGTGTGGACTTCACTGATCTGAACAAAGCGTGTCCCAAAGATTCATTTTCAATGCCACACATTGACGCTTTGGCTGACGCTACGGCCGGGCATGAAATGTTATCCTTCATGGACGCATTCAGTGGATACCATCAAATACAGCTTCACCCTGATGACCAAGAAAGCACAGCCTTCATCACTGAAACAGGTACGTATTGTTATATTGTTATGCCTTTTGGACTAAAAAATGCAGGCGCGACGTTTCAGAGACTAGTCACCTTAATGTTCAAAGATCTAATGGGGGACACCATGGAAGTTTATATCGACGACATGATCGTCAAATCAAAGAAAAAAGAGGATCATATCTATCATCTGACGGAACCCTTCAGAAGACTGAAAAAGTACAATCTGAAGATCAATCCAGCGAAATGTACTTTCGGAGTGACGTCAGGAGAATTTTTAGGATATATCGTCAGTGAACGAGGAATAGAGGCGAGCCCGGAACAAATACGAGCAATTATCGACATTGAACCTCCAAAATCCGTCAAAGATATCCAGAGGTTGACAGGACAAATTGCGGCTTTGAATCGTTTCATTTCAAAATCGTCAGACATGTGCCATTTGTTTTATGACGTCTTGAGAAAAAACAAAAAATTCGAGTGGATAGATCAACACGAACAGGCGCTTCAACAATTAAAAGAATATATGATGTCGCCACCACTGCTCGCAAAGCCTAAAAATGACGAAGAGTTACAACTCTATCTGGCCGTTTCAGAGCACGCCGTCAGCGCAGTACTGACAAAAGAGGAGCAGGGGAAGCAAACTCCAGTCTATTACGTAAGTAAATCCCTAAATGGACCGGAATCCAGGTATGCTTTACTTGAGAAATTAGTTTTAGCTTTGATCGTTGCTTCGATTAAATTACGTCCTTATTTTGAATCACATACCATTTGTGTTAGAACTAACTATCCCATGAAGTCAATCATGAGGAAACCGGAATTGACAGGTCGCATGGCTAAATGGTCGATTCAACTTGGAGCTTATGACATAAGATTCGAACCGAGGACAGCCTTGAAATCACAGTCACTTGCAGATTTTGTGGCAGACTTCAGTCCAAAGCTCCAAGAGGAAGCAGAAAAAGAGATTTGCACTCAGACCGATGGATTCCCAAAGCAAAAATGGACATTGCACACTGACGGAGCGTCAAACCAAAACGGTGCAGGTCTGGGCGTGATACTGAAGTCACCACAGGGGGACACCATGCTCCAAGCAGTACACTGTGATTTCACCGCTACGAACAACGAGGCAGAATACGAGGCGCTAATCGTCGGACTCA